CAGCAAGTTTAATGTTTCTGTTTTAATATTTAGATCTTTAATCCATTTGGATTTTAATTTAGTGCATGGCGAAAGATAAGGGTCTAATTTTAATCTGTGACAGGTTGATATCCAGTTTTTCCAACACCATTTATTAAAGAGGCTATCTTTCCTCCACTGAGGATGGTGAGCTCCTTTGTCGAAGATGAGGTAGCTGAGTACATCTGCATTTGTTTTTGTGTCTTTCAGTCTGTTCCATTGATCCTCAGGCCTATTTCTTTGCCAGTACCATGCTGATTTTATCACAGTGGCTTTGTAGTATAGTTTCAAATTGGGTTTTAGAGCTTGATGTATCCTTTAGAAACATTGCCCTTCTTTCCTTCTTACTGATGGAGAAACGAGGCTCACCTGTCTCTAAGGGAGTACATTATAAGTAAAAGGCACAGGAGGTAAGAGCAACTAACCCAGTTTTTCAACTGAATCATCCTTTCTCTTGGCAAGTGGTGCCCCCCCAATCTATAGTCATCAATTTCCATACCAACAACTCCTACCTCTATCTTTCATGTGATAAATATTAGCCAGCGGAATAAATGCATTAGGCTGAGAACTGAATTCTAGCTTACAACTTAATGATAAAATTGAATATTTATCAAATGCTTGCCCTGAGCCAACCACTTTGTGGGTACCTTCTCATATCTTCACAACCTGGGAAGCAGGTCTCATTATCTCTCTGAAGAGTATTTTGTTGTGTACGTTCCACCACTGCCAACATATTCTTTTTCTTTTTTAACGTTGGCCATCCTAATGGGTGTGAGGTAGCATCTTATTGTACTTCTGATTTACATTTCCCTAATATATATGTTTTTCATAGACATAGAGACTAAATGGCAGCAAAACTAAGGGCCTTACTTAAGATCATACAGCTGCTTAGTTGTAGACATGGGATTCAAATCTAATTGCTCAAACCAAGTGCCCATGCTTTGAACTGCTTCACTGAATTACCTCTCTACAGATCAGAAATGCTTGAAGTGGTTGGAGTTAGAGCTTCAAAATTTTGTTCAACAAGAAGCTATTCTTTAGGTCGAGTATTTGTCAGTTATCCAGAGATACATCAAAGTATTTGGTTAATAGATGGTAAGATGGTCCTATTTTCAAACATCTCTCCAGCTTTAGAACAGTATTTTTCTAACTTACAGTGAAGAAAATATTATTTCTTTGATTTCAAGTCTGCCTTATACTGATATTTTTGTAAAGCATAATAAAAATGAATTCCTAGAAAAATAAAGTGAAAAAATATACTCCAAACTCAAGTATTTTGCTATTTGATGCATTATACAAAATGTCTCTAAATAACTAGAAACGTTCACTTACATTCAATTTCTGTTCTTACAGTGGATCAGTAACAATGTTCAGACAGCAACATTCATAAATTCTATGCTGAGGAGCGCTATTCTAAAGGAGAAGAGACGTGTGTTGAATTTTGAAGAACAAACGTGAGTTGGCATTGTTAATTTGGAATGCCTGGGTCCCTACAGTTTCAATTTCTTTGCTTGAAGAATTAGAATGCAGAGCATAGGGCACATTTCAAAGGCATTAAATTTGGCCAAGGAGAATTGGTGTAGTAGAATTATAACAAGAGTTGGAGTCAGACATTTCTGAGATTAGATTCTAAAAACTAGCTGGTTGACCTTGAGCAATTAAATTCTTCTCTCTAAACTTACCATCACTATCATACTAAAAGATGATGCTGGAAAGTCCTGTCTTACATGGATGCTGTTGGAATACAGTGTCACTAAGTACACAGAACACTTAGCTGAGTGCCCAGTCCATCAAAGTCACTCCACTAATATATGGTCGCCTCCTTCTCTTTATCTTTGCCAGAGGTTTGGCAGAGCTTTGATGGCTTTCAAAAGCTGTTAGTGGAATACCAGACCACAGCAGTCTAAAAATGCATCTTCTCTTAATTATAATATGGTTTGGAAGGAGACCAACTACTCTTTAGCCTCTGCAGTAGCAGGTCCTGGTTGGGGTAGAGGTGACACTGGGTCACTGGGCATGCCCTGGAACTCTGCCTCTTCCCAGCATGCTGTGAGCTGCTGTTGCAGTGGGATCATTCAGAATCAGCAAAGCCAAAATGCTGTGAACATTCCATTTTATTTGAAAAACCTGGACTTTGGAAGAGCCAAACAAGGAATTTGTACCAAACAAATGCAATGTTTCCTTCCTGTTATTTCAACTCTCCTTCCAAAGAATCAAATACCCTACCCAAAGACTAGCTTCATCTTTGAAAATCTGTGAAATCCTAATATCCTGATATTAAAAACCTTGGGAAATGAGTCCTTTTCCTTCCTCTTTTCTATGCCTCTTGAAAATATTTTTCTTTGGGCATAGTACATGGTAGATATTTAGTTTATGGATCTAGATTTAAATTCTAAACTCATAACACTGGCAGTGAGAGCTTGGAGTGATGATTAATCATATGTAAAATGGGTTTAATACTTAAATTCCAGTTCTTTTCCATTTCCTTTCCTCAAGTGGTAAAATGTAAATGGGTTTGGGACACAACCAAGTGTTCTGGACCTGTGGATTAGTGAACCATGGCTAGTTCTGTTCTCCATCCAGAATCTTAGCATTTTCTCTGCTCAGGTGGATTATAAACTTTTACTAGAAGGCATACATCAAAGCCTGCTAAACTGCTTGCACATCTTATGGTTTTTAGTCCTGAAATGTGACATAGCTAGAGCGTTTTGTGCGGCTGAGCAAGGAAATAATTTGTTCATCATTCTTTAAAGGAGCTCTGAACTTCCACAAATAACAGGGAGCTTGTGTTTATCTGGAATTTTTTTTCTAAAAATTTTATAGCTAGCAAAGGCCTGGAAAAGAGGGATGGTAAGTGATGGGGACCACATGGCCTTCAGAATGCAACTGACTTTATGCTTACTCCATGTCGGATGTTTTGTCCATGTTTCTTCAGGAGGGACTTGGTCTAGCTTTTAAATAAACCCTTGGGAGAGGCCATTTATCATCCTGAGTCTAGAGGGTGGGCACCCAAGCAGAGCGTGTTCAGGAGTTTGGCTTTGTACTCATGTTCCATAGAGTTCAGTAAGGTGCCTTTACCCTGGTAACACCCCTATCAGCAGTCTGCACCTTACATATGCTTGTTAGTTCACTGCCTGTTCTGTTATTCTCTTGTCTTGATGCTCAAGTGTGCTGTCAGTTTCTCTAAGGCCTTGACAACCCGGCCAACTTGCCTCTGGGTGCCTTGGGCATCATCCTTTGGCTTTGACTTTGGCTGTCTGGAGGGACTTCTCCCCTCCAGAGCTAGCCTTACAAGCAGCCCTCCACCTAGATTTGCCCAGGAGCAGCATACCTCTTTCAGGTCAAATACATGTTGAGCTTGTGAGCTTGCAAGGAGAGCTCTTCTTTTGAAATTCAGTCAGTGAATATATTCAGAGGCCTGGCTGCGGTTGTGGTAATGAGAACATACATGGAAAGGGGCAGTCCTTTCTGTTTTTAAATTAACTGTAGGCATGTCTTGCATTCTTGATTTATCTTGTACTGATCTTCAGCTTTTTAAGAAAAGGGATAGCTGAAAATATGCTCTCTTAGAAGACACCTAAGTTTTCATTTTCTGTAATAAGAGAGGAAGAGAGGCTTGGGTAACTCCGCATAAAAATCACCCAATTCCCTACTATTTACATCTGGATTTATCATGAAAATAGCACAACTGGTAGAACATTTACCATAGGAAAAAATGCAAAATAGTCTAAATGAGATGCAGGACTTTATCACTCCTGTTAAAGATCTGTAGGCAAATTTGTTCCCAATAATTCCTATCTTATCACTTCGGGACCTGGAACTACCAAACAAGCAACTGAAGCAAAAGTCTTTCTATAGAAAACTAAGCTTTGTGCTCTGAGAAATGCATGGTTTGGGGAAGAATATATTTTGGACTTAACTTTTTTCACATGTAACAGCACAAAGGAGGTGGGGAGCTTCAATATACCTACTCATATGCTTTTCCAGAGTTTATCTTTGGATGAACATGGCTATTTGATTGTCAAAACATTTTGATGGGGCTATTGGTTATTCAAATAGAAGAGGAGGTCCTAGAATGGAGTGGAGATGTTAAAACAAGGAAGAGCAGTTTCTCTGTATAAAAAGTAGAAGGGGTCCTCATTAAGGAGAAAGACTACCGTTTGAACTATATTTTACATCTTCTGAAAGCAGAAAATCCAGAAACTTTCAGTTTGGGTCTCTAAGAGGCAAAGAGAAGACTGAGGAGGGGCTCAGATCTGATAAGTGTGAGCCTGGCATCATGGTGGCAGGTGGGTGGTAGGAGAGGCAGGGGAGGAATGACGCATGAATGTGGCTCAGAAATTGTTCCACACCAGTGCTGGGCAATTCCCCGGCCTGTGCCCATCTTTACCCTCACTTTAAATATACCACGAGAGGAAAGGGGAAAATATTGAGCTGACTGTTTTTATCTTGAATGGACTAATTTTCTGTAAAGAAGCAAAAAATTTGCCTTAAATTTCATTAATATAAAGTACAACTTATATCTCATGACTATGAGATCCACACCTACACTCATGGCATCTGCTGTTTATATCTGAACTCTGTGGTGCCCATGGCCTTTTCTTCCTGACATGCTAAGATGGCTGTGTGTGCTCCCACACTACCTTGCAACTCCTATCATGCCCCCTTCCATGTCTGTTCACATTCCTCTTCTTCCTGAGCTCCATAAAGGTAGAAATTCTGGAGAGCATTTTCATGATTGTTTTTTCTCCAGGATATGAAGAAAAGAAAGTCCGGGGGTTCCAGACGAGGAAGAGAGGTATTTCATTTCCAAGTCAAGCCGATTGATGATTCCTACTGGTTGGCTGCCAGCCTGGTGATAGTTGGTGGGGTGGAGAGGGCGTGAAGCACATCATTGGGAGGTTGGTTCTAAAATTCTCTCTGGAACACAGATACAATACCATCCCTGGGAACAGCACCATCATCCTGAGGCACTTAAATCCTTTTCTTATCACTTCGAGCTCTTCATAAGAATGCTCTGCCAGCACGAGAAGCCCGAAGCTCAAGAAAACCACAGCTCTCAGTCACTGATCCTAAAACACTCCTTGAATTACATCACCTACCCTTCTAACCTCTTCAAAGTGTCCTCTTGCCTTTGATTTTTTTTTTTTTTTTTTAATTTTCAGTAGGTGAGGCTTGTTCCAAGTTTCCCACACAGCAGTAGGGGGAGTATTTGATGACCTTCCGCAGAATGAAACCATTCCAAGTGGATTAGATCTCTTTTCACAGATTCTCTTAGGGGCAAAGAATGAGAATGGAAGCATGGGGGCAGGAAGTCCTAGGTGACGGCAGACAACTGAACACCACTCCTGGTGGAGACTGAGTAGGTGTGTGCTAATGATAAGAGGAGGGGAGAGCCGGGGCACCTCTTTTGATAGCAGCCTGTCCTCTCCCCTCTGTTGTCCTGCTTAGTTTCTCTGTGACTGGAGCCTCTGTATTCTTGTCTATCCCATTCTGAGTTTAAAAATATGGCAATAATCCTCTGAACAATGATGTGCTCAGACTCAGTGCTGGCTAAATAAATGATCGCCGTTCCATGCAATTAACTCTCTTCTTTCTGTTTCTTGCCACTCGTGTTTCTTTATCTGTATTCCAGGTTTTGGTCAATGTTCAGTTTATGGTGTGATATCCTGGGGGCTGGGTGACAAGATTCTTGCATGTGGTGTCCAGAAGGGATGGATGTAAGGGGCTGGTGGAAGGGTTCGCTGTGTGGATCGGAAGTTCTGCTGCAGTTCGGGAGAAAGGTGTCAGGGTGACATCCTTTAAATGTTTACTGGACAAAATGCCAGTGGCATTTGAACTGGGCCTCGAAGCATGAGCAGAGCCACCTAACGATCAGAGAAGTTGATGTGAAAGGTTACAGTGTCTCAAAGCAGCAGCAGAGCGAAGTAATTCTCTGACTGTAATTTTTAAGAATGAGAACCAAATGGAAAAAAAGGGACAAAAGTGTGAGTAAGAGCATGAGAGAATGTTGCCTTCCAGATTTCCAAAGCAGCTTTATTCACGCTTTGGGACTTAGAGGAGTCCCCACGGAAGTCAGATGTGTGCCAGGACACCAGGCAGGTGGTCTTGCTGCACAGAGGCACGGTGCCTACCCACAAGCACCGGGCGAGAGTTGAGCACGGCTCCTGGGGAAGCTAACAGACTATGCAGCTCTAAAGCTATATTTCTGAACACAGTCTTAGGCAGGATGGCTCCCTGGCCCGCCATCCACAGGCTTTTTAGGCTGGAAGGGACCCCCCGGAGACTTCTCCAGTCAGTTCTTGTGCACCTCACATACTGCAACGCATACTTCAATCCGGTGTCCCAGTGTTGCTGGAGGACACCCAAACGCCGTCCTCCTGTCCACCTTCATTACAGTGCACACTGCATTCCTTCTACCTGGATTTCTTTTCCCTGCTCTTAGAAACTCCTATTCATTGTTCAAAACCCAGATCAAATAATTTTTCCTTTCAATAGCGTTCTCTGAAATACCACAGTCTATTGCCCCCGAAAGCAGACTTAAATATATGTATGCTGTTTGTTTTATTACTTAATATAGTACTGTAGTAGCAGTTAAATAATATGTACTTATTTTCTCTTTTAATTGTGACTTTCAAGAACACTCAATAAACACTTATGGAGTATCTACTATGTGCTAGGCTCTCACAACAGAAACTGTACATATTTCTTATCAACAGTTTTCATTGCAACCTTGAAATGTCCAGAAACAAATACAAATATGTTCTCTCAAAGTACAGGATAAATGAATGAAGGAATAAATAAACAAACAAAATAAAAACAATTTCCCCTAGGTTCTTAAAACTCCCATACCAAACTCAGTGCACTACAACCTGAAAATTTGGGTATCCTGAGCCCCCAGGGAAGGTGCTAGCATTCACTTCTGACATTATCTGGCTGCTTATAATTTGGTGTAAGCCAGCAAATCTAGGCAGTGGAACTCTCTGATGGTCATGCGGTATTTCTGTTCTGAAATCATGTATTCCTGTGGTCTTAGAGATTAAAATAAAGCAATTGTGTTATGAGTCACCTTCCCCGCAGCAGGCCACGAGTGAGATCCTGGCACAGACTCCACCAGTGGAAAGGCTGGTGGCATAGACCTGTCTGTGTCCTGTTGGAAACCTCGACTGAGGCTGCAGCAATTTGGGGTTTTTCTAAAAGTACTGTGCACTGAAGACAATTTTCAAAATGGGGTTTGAAGACTAAATAAGCAGCCATATAATCACACTCACTTCTTCTTTGAGAAAGGCATAATAAGCTCTTATTTTGATTTGATGATTGCTAGTTGGTCTGCATGTTTCCCAGGCCTGTGGCTATAGTTAGAATATTTCTATAAGTGGTGACTATGAATCAGTTGATTGATTTCTTCCAACAAGTACACCTGAATGTTGATATCAAAATGAGGGCAGCAACTCTTGAGATGATCTCTAAAAAGTGCACCTGACTGGGAGTTAAACTACTGGGCAATGGTTCTCAGCTCTACATTTACTGAATGATGACATTCAGCAAGTCACCGATCTCCTTTGTGAGGAAGAATTACTTTGCAAGGTTAGATTAAAGTTCAAATGAGCCATTAGATCTACAGTTCTTCACACATTGTAAATAGTAAATATGAGTTTCTTGTGTTTCTTAGCACCTCATTCATTCTTTCTAGAAATGCTGCCTTTGGAGTTCCCTTGAAAAATCACTGTTGGAGTCATATGTAAAGTGGCAATATTTTGACTCCCATTTCTTGATGATGATATGGGGCACTTCTGTCAACCCCTGGGATTTGCTGGAAACCATGGTGTTTCATTCTGCATGTCTACTATCATGAAGACTTTTGGGACAATGTTACTGCTTCATAGACAGGGATGACATCCAGCTGTTGAAGATTTTGCCTGCCTCTCCTAAATATTGTTCCAATCCAATTCCACCAATTACCCCACCACCCTGGGTGTTTCAAAGTACCCAATGAGCAGCACGCCTTTCTGTGACTTGATTTGGAGCCATTCCAGAACCCAGACCAAAGCTTTAGTGGCTAGAGAATCAAACCTGCCCACTTCTGCTGCAGATAAAGCTAGTTTGAAAAGGTAGCTTGGTGTGAGAGCCAGGTGGAAGGTCTAAATTCCTCAATCTCAGTCTAGACTTTATACCAACCCAACCAAGGCCAGCTTGGCTTTGCAGAACAGATGCCCTTACCTGTACTCTTGCCATTCTTGATAGTTTCCAGTGGACACAAAACCAGAAAAAAAACCTAACCTGACAACTTTAAGGCATCTGAGAGTTTTAATCCCAGTTAATGGAGAGCAGTGGCTGTAGCCTGCCAGCAAGGAGCAGCCCCCTACCCCAGGTGGAGTGAGAAGTAATGAAAAGGAACACAAGTACACGTGGAGGCCAACATCCAAAAGGAGTGGGATGTGTCAGCCCTGCCTTCATCCTCAGCTTCTCTTCCAGACTGCAGAAAGGTGTGAAGCATTCTGTAGCCACTTGCTCAGTCTTGATGAATTTGTCATTTTTGGACCTGATTCTGTCCAGCTTGGATTGATGTTTTGGTTTTAGTTCTTGATGGAACTTTCCAGTGTTTCTTGGATTTACTCTCTAACAGAGGGGTGATTCCCAGTCCAGCCCTTCTCCTAGCTATTGATTCCAGTGCCCTGTATCATGCCAATTCAGAAGAGCTCAGGGTCCAATCTGGTTGTGAAACCCAAGGCCGTGAGCAGCTTGAATGACAGCAGAGGTCTTGGAGTCACCTGATCACACACAGTACTTGGTGAGAGCTGGGTCAGCAGGAGAGAAACAACCCTTTCCATCCTGCAGGTGCAGCTCCAGTGTGCTGCCCAGCTCCCTCCTGGGTAGATGACTTTTGGCCCTGTTTAAAAGAAAAAAGCCACAAGTCTCTGTGGTGACTAAATGCTGAGTCCAGTCATTTTTTCAGTTACTTAGAAATGTTCTTTTCCAGGAAGAGGAGCAAGTGCTCAGTAAGACAAAAGGTGGTGTCCAAACCAAATCCAATATTTGTCAGGATTGGGTTGTCAGCATGCAGCAGTGCTCCTTATGTTTTTCCTAACCCTCGTGTCAAGCACGTGGCAGCTTCTAATCTATTTCCCATTTCATGACAGTTTTCAATCAAGTAATTAGAAGCCTCTAAAGGTGAAGAGATTTTGTTTTTCTTTGAGGGTTATTTTGCCTACTGAAGTTGAACTGAAAACCTTATGCTAAATGGTCTTGATGGAGAGAAGAGATGGAAAATGTGAGCAGAAAGTAGGTAGGGCTGGTCAGAGATGGGAAAGATTAGAGAACCAAGGACTGGCCTGTGCTTATGCTTTGCTATGTTTTTCGCTCTGGAGAAGTGAAGGAATCTGCAAGAGGTTAGCTGCTTGGGGTATAGAGGTTGGATTCTGGAGTCTGGTGTGGCACAGTTCCGTGGCCTCACTTAAAAGTTTAGTAAGATGACAGACCTGAGTTATATTTCATTTGATTTGAGGAGAAGACAGCAATGTGTTATTTCCTAGATACTTGAAGATACAAACTGAGATTCACACTTGCATATATAAAATAAGCTGAATCTTTAAAATTAGCTACATCTAGAAAGGTTCTCCATGGGACTGTTACAAATCCACATAGTTGTAATCAAAACATGGGTTTGATTTTTAGCTCTTTCTTCATATGAATTTTAATGCAATAGATTATTGTACAATTCAAGTGAAAATGGAGCGTCTTGACTGGGGACCTAGGGCTCTTCTGTTGGGCTTCTCTTTCACACTGAGTGGTTTATAAG